AAGTGTGCCCTATTTAAAAACACATTGATCAAACTTGTAATTTAAATTTTTGTTTATATGACTTTCTTTTAATATGGTATACCCATTAAACAAAAAAGACGCATATATCAATTGTCAGTTCTAAGAAATGGGAAAAGGGATAGGGATCAATTCTGATGGCCTTGTTTCAGCTTAACCTACAGATTTCCTAGCTGCCTACTTAAGATAGTTATTAGGAATATATACGGCCATTTCATATTCAACAAATTATTATTAAGCATTGGAAAGTATCTTTTTTTTTTTTTTAAGCAAAGATAGAGAGGCACTTTGAGCAATAGAGAAAAAGTCCTTAATTTTTCACTAAAAAAAAAAAAAATTTTTTTAAAGTGGGGGAAATACAAAAATTAGCCAGGTGTGGTGGTGCATGGGTATGATCCCAGCTACTTGGGAGGCAGACGTAGAGGTTGCCCAGGAGGTTGAGGCAGCAGTGACCTATGATTTCATCACCACACTCCAACCTGGAGTTATTAGACTCTGTCTCCAAAATAATAATAATAATAATAATAAAAAGTAAAAACAAAGAACAAAATTAAGACTTCAATAAGCTTAAGAAAACAATAGGAAGAAAACGAAGAACAAAGGTTTTTAATGGAATTCAAGTTCCATAAAACACGTATTTGTTTTTGCTTGCATACGCATAAACTCTGGAAGATACCACTATCAGTGGTTGCCTGTGCAGGGAGATAGAAAATAGGCAGATGAGAGACAGGTGTAAAACGCAAACTTATTTACCAAGCACCTTTGAATTTTTAACCACTTAATTACCTATTTTAAAATTGAATTTAAAAATTTAAATGTTCCTTAAACAATCATTTGTAGCAAACAGCTGAAAAACAAAAAAGCCAAAGAAAGGAAGTATTGGAACGAAGTACCAAGAGACAAAACATAAAATAGCACTGAGAAGTCTGAGGCAATTCAAAGAGAGGACAATCCAGATTGCTTGCAGGAAACCGCTGAAAAAGTCAGTGCGAAATCCAACGAGGACCTCAGAAGCTTAGAATAGCCAAACAAGTATCAGCTGGAATAAGTAACAGTATCGCAAAAATGTGGTGCACAACTTTAGGGCCCTGTGTCCCTTGGGAGTGGGAAATCCGAGATAAAACCAGAACTTTACTAATCGAAAATGAGTTATCTCTTACCCACTAGGAGAAAGAGGGAAGGAAATGAGAAACAAGTTTCTGTGAAAGTCACAAAGATATCAGTTAGAAAGTGAGGCCTAAGAGGAAAAGACAAAGGATTCCACTAGTATCATCTAGCAAAGAAAAGAGATTCTACTTTGCCAAGAATTATTTAAGGCAGCCCTTGAAAAGCAAATGGAAAGGACTGTCCTCTTAAAGTCATTTCTACCCTTATGACTTTTTGATTTGTGGGCTAATTCCCAGTGTGCTTCCTTGTAGGAGAGAACTTGCTAATTTAGTACAAGGCCTAGTTAGCATGAAGTGAAGGGGTTAAGATATGTTATTCTGGCATATTGACTAAGTTAAAGACATTTGTAAAACAGCAGGTGCAAAAAGATCACTGTGACCTTCTTGCTGTTTCTTAAGAGAGGCAGATGAAATTCCTGTGTGGAAGACATTCCCTGAACCCGAAGGAAAGGCAACATCCTTATCTTCAAGGGCAAGAAGGTGAGACCAAGAGAATACTGTACTGACCTTGTTAGAATAAGCCTTATCTTTTAAGCCTCCCCGCATAATTTAGTTGCTTCTTCACAATTTACTATTTTTTTTGTCCAATCCAGCATATAAATAACTGATTCTAACTGCTTCTTTGGGTCTTCATTTCTTTCTGAGGCCTCCTGTGCTACATAAAGCATGTATTATGCTTTTCTCCTGTCAATCTGTGTTATGTCAATTTAATTCTCAGACCCAGCTGGGACCCTAGGAGAATGCAGGTGGAGTTTTTCCACCCCCATAGAAGTATCGGCACTGCTGGTAAAGATTTGCAAGTAAACTTGGGCAGGAATATTATTTTTAATCAAGTAAAATATCCTTCATTTCAAAGTACAATGAACACATCTAAAGTGCTAGCAATGTTCTTTCTTGACATGGTATTAGTTTGAAATCATTATGCTATGAATTTACATTTTGTGAGCTTTTCTGTACGGTGGTATATATTTTTTTTAAGATCACCAAGAAAATACTATTAAAGTTATCCTTTCCGGGAACAATTTGCCCTTGTGGTGACGCCAAAGGCTGAAGTCAGAGTTTCCACCATGAAGAGCCAGTCTCCTAATGGGACACCAATAAGATCAATTTGGCCTATCCAATGAATGACACTCATCAGGTCCAGAGACCCGCTCTCTTTGGTAAGTCCTCACTCTCAAGCCAGGCCATGGAAATCTGAAGCATTGGAAATGGAAAGAGGCTGTCTACAGGGCAGGAACCAGGGAAAAAAAGTATGCAAAGGAAAATTGGGCTCTAACAACTAATAGCTTTATATATTTTTTCATATATTCTGTCAGGTTTAAGAAAATGAGAAATTAGAAACGAGATCATGTCCTTTGCAGGGACATGGATAGAACTGGAAGCCATTATCCTCAGCAAACTAATACAGGAACAGAAAACCACATGTTCTCACTTACAAGTGGGAGCTGAATCATGAGAACACATGGACACATGTGGGGGATTAACACACACTGGGACCTGTCAGAGGCAGGGGATGGGGGACGGGGAGCATCAGGAAGAATAGTTAATGGATGCTGGGCTTAATAACTAGGTGATGGGATGATTTGTGCAGCAAATCACCATGGCACACATTTACCTATGTAACAAACCTGCACATCCTGCACATGTACCCCTGAACTTAAAAAAAAAAAAAAAAAAAAAAAAAAAAAAAAAAAAAAAAAAAAAAAAAAAAAAAAAAAAAAAAAAAAAAAAAAAACTACAAAAAACAAAAAAAAAAGAAAATGAGAAATTAATTTGCATTTGAGTTGGAAAAATAGTTTAGGCCCAGAGAGATGAAGTGTCTTGCTAAAAGTCACAAATTAGTTTTGAGAAGTTTTTTTCTTCATTTATTTCCCCATAAATTACCTGTGGTAGCTTAGACAATACATTTACTAGAAAATAAAAATGTAAATAATAAGGCCAGGTACAGTGGTTTATGTCTGTAATCCCAGCACTTCGGAAGGCTGAGGCGAGTGAATCACTTGAGGTCAGGAGTTTGAGACCAGCCTGGCCAACATGGTAAAACCCCCTCTCTACTAAAATACAAAGATTAGTCGGGTGTGGTACACACGCCTGTAGTCCCAGCTACTCTGGAGGCTGAGGCAGCAGCATCGCTTGAACCTGGGAGGCAGAGTTTGCAGTGAGCTGAGATCACACCACTGCACTCCTGTCGGGGTGACAGTGCGAGACTCTGTCTCAAAAAAAAAAAAAGTAAATAATAAACACGGTGAATTACGATAGAATTGGGATTTCTTACTTTCAATCTACTGTTCTTTACATCATATCATTTTGTTTGTTAAACTTTCTAGATTTCCCAGTGTAAGATATAAACTAATGGTTCTACTTTTTTCTATTATGTAGCTGTTCTGAGCTACACAGAAGCACATGGGTAAAGGACCATTTTGTGTGGAGAATGTGTTAACTGCTTTTGTCACCCTGAACTAAAAATGCCTCTATAACTACAGCTACTCAAGAGATCTATTGGCTTCATCTTACTTCTATTCTATTATCAAGCCAAAGATGCAGAAATTTCTTCCAAAATTTAAAGACTGAAAGGCAATTTAGTTAAGGGCAGTTTTTTGTTGTTGTTTTGTTTTTAACAAAGCCAATTTAGATAAGCTTTATATCAGTATATATAAAATTATACAAAGCCATTTCCCCTTCATCTGGAAAAATCTATCAATCTAATTCTTTAAATATCTGTCAAGCTGGACACAATGGTTCATGCCTGTAATCCCAGCACTTTGGGAGGCTTAGGCGGGCGCATCACCTGAGGTCAGGAGTTCAATTTCAGCCTGGCCAATGTGGTGAAACCCTGACTCTGCTAAAAATACAAAAATTAGCCAGGCGTGGTGGCAGGTGCCTGTAATCCCAGCTACTCAGGAGACTGAGGCAGGAGAATTGCTTGAACCCAGGAGGCAGAGGCTGCAGTGAGCCGAGACTGTGATACTGCACTCCAACCTGGGTGACAGAGCAAGATTCTCTCAACAAAAAAAAATCTGTCAAATGAGGGATCCCCTAAAATGGTGTCTGATGCCAGCCCTCAAGATTCAATTACTTAGCTGGCTTTGTTTCTCTACTTGTTGCCTTGTTTCAGAAAATAATCATGAAAAAGAAGCTCAAGATTTAGTCAAACAAATACTTGTTTCAGAAGTTTGAAACTCTCAGCCAAATGAAGATTGGTAGTTCTTTCACCTGCACTCTCTACTTACAGGAATAACAGAATTGACTCTACTTGCAAGAATCAGTGCTGCAAGAATCAATCCAGACAACTGTGTAACAGGGCCAATGACCCGGGGTCTGTCCTCATTGGCCCAGTTTGCTTTACTCAGCTCTACTCCTGTCCCCAGCAGCTATGCTATAAGGTCACAAAGGGGGCTGGACAAGAGAGCAAATACACCATCTCCACCATACTACTCTACTGATGTCACAATAGTAACGTCATCTTTACATTAAAGATAGAATTTTGAATGTGTGTTTGAGAGAGGGAGGCTGTACTGTTTTTTACTATCCCATCTTTTGAAGACTCTATTAAGTGGTCCCATTTCCTTTATGTCCCTTTTTTCTGATCTGGCCTGGAGCCAAAACCAGAAGTCTTATTAATAGAGTTGACAAGTGTCGAGACCATAAATGACCCTTCATAGCAATTAAAATGAAAAATAATCCCCATAAGCCAGAACTGAAACAAAAGGTTAACTACTTATCCAAACTTCGGCAAAGAGACAGTTTTTCTCCCCCATCTCCCTAAGCCAGTTAGAAACGGTATCTGCAGCTGCTCCTCCTCCTCCTGCAACTCACTTTCTGCGTCAAATAGTATGGGTCAAAGTCCTCCAGGGGAACTGCAACCAGGCCTTGGGGGATGTCCCCGTAGATGAAAGGCAAACTCTTCCCTGCTTCCAGGTCACTGTTTGGCTTGGGCTTGCTGTCCTCATCGTCCTCCCGATGACTGCCATCGGCCTTTGGTGGTTTCTTGAGCTTGCTCTCAGCAATGCGCCTTTCAATGTTTGCCAGCGACTCAGGGGTGAAAGGCTTGAAACTATCAGGGCCTGGTGGTGCGAGCAGCCGCGCTGCCATCTTCTCATCCTGCAGCAGCTTCGTTAGTTATGCTGCGTCCAGGACAGGTCAGCTCTGGAAGAAACAGCAACACAGACAGCATTAATCAATCACTGCTCTAAAAAGAGGCCAGACTAAACCATCTCACTCTCAACCTTAATTCACAACCTTTGCAAAAAATGCATAGTTTCTTCCATGGCATTATTTTTTTTATTTTTCTTATTTTTTTATTTTTCTTTTCAGGAAATCTGTGGCATGGACTGATCTGTCATGGGAGATCAAAGATCAGGAGTCTCCTGAATTGCTAGTATTTATTATATTTACTTAGATGCAACTCACTATTAGGAACCACATACAACAAAAAAGATATATTCTATTCCCTTAGGGAACTTCTGTTCTGAACAAATAAGGCATATGTAACGTTACCCAGGGGCATATGATAGCTGTGGAGTCCTTATAGTCCAAGTTACCTTCCTTTCCTAAAGCTCCACTCCCCAAAGAGAAACTCTTCCTTTCAAGGGCAATATGAGGATAAACTGTCATTCTCAAATTTCAGTTTCTGAAAACAAAATAAACCCTTCAAACTTTGGAGACACAAAATATAGATAAAATAGCTTCCATCTGCTTTAGTTCTTCCATTCCAAGTTATTTTTCAATCATCAAGTTGTGTAAAATCCATTCAGCATAAAAGTCCAAAAGTATCTTCTTTAACAATCAAGCTCAGAGGGCAGATACTGCTCCAAGTGCCGCCTGCTTACCAACTAGAAAAAGCAAATGGGAGTGGAATCCTAGAGAACTTCCTCTGATGCAACAGCACTGCAGCATTGCAGGCTGAGCAGCAGCAGAAGGGCCTGCGTGCGACTCCTGAGAGGGGCTCAAACCAGGAAGGACAGAGACGCATGAAAAGAGTCACAAACAAAAATTCCCTTCTAAAAAGAAAGCTGAAGTAATGTCTTATGAGAAGCAATGATTTCTAAGCATGGTATTTGAAAAGCCCATTTCCATTTATGTTTATAAGAGTCCTGGATTATTTAAACACACACAGTAAAATGGAGGAATCAATCCCTGGTTTTGAAAGCAGCAGTATTCAGTTTCAGGCACAAAATGATCTGAGCAGGTAAATTATACTGTGAAAAGCTTAGGGCTTTGCTGGCAGTTCATTGGTTGCTCATGGTACTGCTTTTTTCTCTTTAGCACCGTAAGTACAATCCAGGATTTTTTTTTTTTTTTTCAAGCTAAAGATTGTTCTTTCCCCTCCTACTTAGTCCTCAAGGTCCACTTCATGGCAACTAAACCTTGAGGCTCCTCAAGAGAACAGTAGTAGAGTTAACTCTAAATAATTGGGGAATGAGATACACAAGAGCTCTTTCCACAAATCCACCTGCTTAGATCCCAGATCTCTGGAGCAGTCATGACTGCTAAGTGTTACAAGACAGTGTGTAGTGTCTATGTGAGGGTTGGTCCACTCACTCACTCATAGCAGGGGACTAAAGAGGCCAGAACCACAAGTCTGCCCCACACATAACCAGTTGGCTTCACACTGTGCAAAAGACACCACCATCCTACAGACAGTGGGGTCAGAGAAATCATTTCTATGTAGGAATTATGTAAGGATTTCAGAGCTGCAAGCGATTTTACAAATTGAGTCCATTTCGTTTCAGATGAGGAAAGTTGGGGTCCTAAGAGATCAGACAACTTGTCCTGAGTCACACGGCCAGTATAAAAATCATGACCAAAAAGCTCTCGTGCCCTATCTCAGAACTTCTTTTATTATAATAATCATCAGTTATCTATCCTCCTTTCCTATCTCCCACTACTCCCCAAAAGGAATGGCTTAATTTAGTCAGTAAATCACATAGAAATGGCTTTACTGATCTAAGAGTTTATTTACAATGCTTTCCCCAACCTAAAATTCCTTTTCCTTCATTTTTCTCCTACCCATCCTTGGATTGCCCCCCAATAAATCCCTACTCCTCCACAGAGTCTTCCCACCAACTCAGCCTTGACTAATTACTTCCCCTTCTGCACTCCTACAGAACTCCACCATGACCTTAGCTAACATTTATCACACACTATGTTTCAAGCATTATTCCAAGCACCTTGCTTACATTAACTCGTTCAATTTCCAGAACAGCATATGAGGCAGATATTATTATCACCACTTAACAGATAAAGAAACAGAGTGACAGAAAATTAATGTAGCTTGTCCAAAGTTACACAGCCAGAAAAAGATGCAAAACACTCTAAATAAACTTGTTTTGGCACTTAATCATTGCTGAATTGTGCCTTTCAGAATAAATTCCCATACGTCTTAAACTTCTTTTGTATCCCTTTCACAGTGAATAGGATTATGCCTGAAACCCATAAAGAGACCAAATACATGGGACTCCTTGGCTCCTACATCCACACTCATTCTCAAGCCTAGGTCACTCTCTGTTCCTACGCAGAGGACAAAGAACACTGCAAGAGTAAGTCACTGAAGATGCTGACAAATTCTTGTGATCTAATTGCAGGCACCTGGGTTCTCCACAGTAGCCCAGGGCAAAGTTCTCTGTCTTTGCTTCCGGATTCTGTTTCTTCCTGTCTTCTCCAAGACCATCCTCTCAATTATCCCTGCTCTTCATCCCATTTTCAATCATACCTTTTCCTTTATCTTCTCCCTTTACATCTCCACACCCACTCTCTTTGTTCGGCCTAAGTGACACCATGTTATCCTGGTTGAACTACAGCTGCAGTCTCCTCTTCCTCATCACCTCTTCCTTCTCTAAGGCTGGCCTTCTGAAATTTCTCTGTTATATTCTTTCTTTTAGGGATCTCATTTACTCAAAATAATTTGTACACTGGTAATTTTCAGATTTCTTTCCCTGGCCCTGATTGTTCTCCTGAGTCCCACAGTTGTCTCAAGGGGCCCTGCTATGACTTCAAAACTAAAGCGTTTAAAAACTACTCTTCTTACTCCAACACTGATTTCTCTTCCTGACTTTCTTATTTCTGGACCAGCCATCCAGCATGGAACCTCAGTCATCTCTGCGCAGTCCCTTTTTGCTATCCATACCCAACCAGTCATCAGCCTTTCCAATTGCTCTTCCTTCAGAGCTTCCATTTTCAATAATATTGCCCTCATTCAGGTCCTACTGCAATAGTCTCCTCACTTAGTCCACAAGGCATATTTCCAAGGATCCATTTTCCTAAAAATCTGCTTTCATTACATCATTTCCCTCCCTCAAACTTACCAGAGTTATAGGACAGAGTCCAAATTTCTGCCATTTCACTGCCACTCAAGGCATTCTACAACCTTATGTCACAAACATTCTCTTCTACGGCTTCCCTGCAAGAACACCTGCACTGGTAATTGTATTTTGAGTTTTAAATTTTTTGAAGGTATAATACAATAAAGTACACAAACCTTAAGAGCATAGCTTATTTTGTACATATATATATGCCTGTGTAACCACCACTGAAAGCAAGATGTAAAAAATTTATTTCCAGGCCGGGCGCGGTGGCTCAAGCCTGTAACCCCAGCACTTCGGGAGGCCGAGGTGGGTGGATCACGAGGTCAAGAGATCGAGACCATCCTGGTCAACATGGTGAAACCCCGTCTCTACCAAAAATACAAAAAATTAGCTGGGCATGGTGGCACGTGCCTGTAATCCCAGCTACTCAGGAGGCTGAGGCAGGAGAATTGCCTGAACCCAGGAGGCGGAGGTTGCGGTGAGCCGAGATTGCGCCATTGCACTCCAGCCTGGGTAACATGAGTGAAACTCCGTCTCAAAAAAAAAAAAAAAAAAAAAATTTATTTCCAGCATCCCAGGCAGCTCTCATGAGCCATCAATAACCACCTCCAGCAAAAGCTATTCTGACATATATCACCATATATTAGTTTTGCTTCTAATTGAACCTCATATAAGTAGAATATAAACACACTCTTTGGGTTCTCGCTTCTTTCACCCAACACTATTTCTATGAAATTCATCTTCTTATATGTGTAGCAGTGGTTCATTCTGCATGGTATTCCATGCATGAATGTAGTACAATTTATCCATTCTACCTTCATGGGCATTTAAGTTGTTTACAGTTTTAAGTTATTATGAATAAAGGCTGCTAAGAGCATTCTTGTACATGTCTTTTGGGGTATCCATACACTTAATCCTTTTTGGCATATAGCTAGGAGTGGAATGCTGGGTCAGAGAATGGCAGATACTTAGCTTTAGTGACATTCCTACAATGGAAGATTGCAATGTAAGAGGGTTCCAGTTGTTCCAAATCCTCATCAACACTTGGAATGACAGTCTTCTGAATGTTACCCACACTGGTGGGTACAGTAGCATCTCTTATTTTTTAAAAAATTAATTTATTGGGGTGAAATTTACATAACAAAAAATTAACCATTTTAAGGTGAACAATTCAGTGGCAATTAGTACATTCACACTACCACTGTTATCTAGTTCAAAAACATACACAGTTTCTCTCCATTCCCAACCTTCAACCTCCACCCTTCACCACCAGCTCCTAGTAACTATCAGTCTGCATTCTGTCTCTATTGATTTATCTATTCTAGACATTTCATATAAATGGACTCACACAATATGTGAGCTTTTGTGTCTGACTTCTTTCACTTAGCATAATGTTCTCAAGGCTCATCTATAATGTGGCATGTATCAGTACTTCATCCTCTTCTATGGTATTTCATGCAGGGTACAAAATCAACATACAAAAATCAATAGCATTTCTATACATCTACAACAAACTAGCAGAAAAAGATCAAGAAAGCAATCCCAATTATAATAGCCACCAGATAAAATAAAATAAGACCTAGGAATAAATTTAACCAGGAAGGTGAGAGATCTCCCCAGGAAAACTATAAAACACCGATGAAAAATCAAAGATGACACCAAAAAATGGAAAGACATCCCATGTTCATGAACTGGAAGAATTAATATTGTGAAAATAACCATACTACCAGAAGCCATCTATAGGTTCAATGCAATTTTTATCAAAGTACCAATGAAATTCTTCACAGAAATAGAAAAAACAATCCTAAAATTCGTACAGAACTACAAAAGATCTTGAAAAGC